GCCAGCTTTTTGCTTGCTTTACTAGCTGCAGCATCACACTGAAAGCTCACCTTCATCTTGTGGTCAATCACGACCCCCAAGTCCCTTTTGTGTGTAGTGCTAGCTAGTGTACCACTGCCGAGCCTATAAGCATGCTGCAGGTTTTTCCTTCCAAGGTGGAGAACCTTGCATTTTTCGGTGTTGAACACCATCAGGTTCTCGTCTGCCCATTTCATGTCAAGATCTGCCTGGATCACCCTCCTGTCCCCAGGTGCGGATGCTTTACCCCAGAGTTTGGTGTCATTGGCAAACTTGAACAGTCCACTTTTGACACCAATGTCCACATCATTGATGAAGATGTTGAATAGTATAGGCCCTAGGACAGAGCCTTGAGGGACCCCACTGCTAACTGCACACCAAGATGATTGGCTTCCGTCAACCACCACCCTCTGGGTCCTACTGCAATTCCCCAGCCAGCAGATTGTGGTGAGATCGAGGCTGCAGCTAGCCAGTTTAGCCAAGAGGTGATCGTGGGATACCAGATCAAATGACTTTTTAAAGTCAAGATATACAATGTCAATCTCTTCCCCCTTGTCCAGGTGATATGTCACCTGGTCATAAAAGGAAATGAGATTGGTCAAGCAAGACCTACCCACAAACAAACATGCTGGCTATCCCTCAGGATATTGCCTTCAGCTAGTCTGTTAAGGATGGCCTCTTTGATAATCTTTTCCAAGACCTTCCCCAGGATAGAGGTCAGGCTGATGGGCCTGTAGTTTGCTGGATCTACTTTCCTCCCTTTCTTGAAGATAGGCACCACATTAGCCCTCTTCCAATCTTTGTGCACTTCACCAGAGCTCCAGGAGCTCTCAAAGATCTGTACCAGGGGCTGAGCTATGATGCTTGCCAGCTTCTTGAGTACCCTGGGGTGTAAACCATCAGGGCTGGCTGACTTGCTTAGTTGCTCTATGGTAACCTGCTTTTGATGTTTGAGCTAAAAGAGTTGTTTGAGTCACTGTAAGACTCAGACTGCCCGCACAATGCTTGTGACTTCACTCACAGGTTGGCATGTACAGTGTTAATTGAACAAACTGCACTAACAACACTGCCAGGCCCTGCAGCACCAATTTTCTCCTGCCAAGCTGACCTGCCAGACATTGACGTCTACAGTCACATGCCAGAAGGCAACAACTCTAAGGCTTATGAATCACTGAGCTTCTGGCTAGAAGCCTGATGGTAGCCCCCTGCTTGGTAGCACCTGTTAAAAACACATGATAAGACCCTTCCTGACATTGCCCACCTCATTAGCAGGGGCTGTCACAGGGCTACCATTTGAACACTAGAGGCGAAAATGGCATGACTGGTGTGATTATGAACAAGCCAACACATGAGTTGGCAGTGAGATGGCATGCGAGAGGCAAAATCTCCCCCTCTAAAAAAATATCAACCACCCTAACAGCAAGGACACCAGGCCCTACCTAAGTCTTTTACCTCACTGGAAGACTTCTGCTCCATCCTCCTCAAGGGAAGCAAGTGAAAAGAGATTGACTCCTAACTCAAGTCCCTCCCCAGGCACCACTCCTGCTTTGGGTGGGAGAGACTTCATGGGGGGCTGTCACACGGAGCTAGGGGCAAGAGTTTTGGGGTGGGGGGAGCATATCCCAACCTCCCCCTCTAACAGGTGCCAGCATTTGCCTCTCAGGAGTCCTGGCCCAGCTTTTCCCCTGCAGGGGCTATAGAGCTGCCAGCCCTCTCCCCACACCAGGGCCGTGCCAGCTCTGAGCGCCCTCAGGGCGCATGCGCGTCCCAGGGCCCCGGGGGACGCACCCCGGGTGGTCGGGCCCCTGGCGCGCACGCTGCGCCTGGCAGGCGGCCGCTTTCCTGCGAAGCTTGAGCCTTGTGGCTTGCCGTTCGGGCCCCTGCCAAGGGCGAACCCCGCGCCTTGCCATTCACACTGCCGCCTAGAGCCTCGCCGCCATGTCGGTCCTCGCCAAGGCTGCCGGGGTCTTCAAGTCGGTGGATTACGAGGTGTTTGGTCGAGTGCAGGGTAGGTGCGGGGCTACGAAGAAAAAAGGGAGGGGGAAACCAACTACCGCTGCAGTGGCTCACGAGAGCTATAAACATGGCGGCGGCGCGGTGCGGGGGGGGCACTAGCTAGTGCGCATGTGCAGGGTTGCGAGCCCGGCCCTGGAGGGGGCGGGGCCTGTAGGAGCGAGTCTGAGCCTCTTCTTCTCCGCTTTCCCTTCTCTTCCCTCCGGGGCTGGTGCCGCCGCCCCGCCCTTTGGCTGCTATTGATATCCCGCGTTCGAGACCCACCCCGGCCAGCCAGGGTTTTTTTTTGCCGGCACAGGAAGCTTTAATGCCCTTCCCGCGACCCTATGTCACACTGCTGGGTCCTAGTACTTGTAGTTGTGCTTCTGCTGCTGACCTTGTGGCTAAGATCAAGGGAGAAAGGGTGCACCTGAGCCCCAAGACCTCCAGGCCTGGGGCTTGCACGTAGGATGCCTGCCTGGCAGGGTATGAATTACACTTTGACCTTGGGGGGTCTGCAACAAAAACTAAATTCCTTCATTGGAAGGGGGAATCCCATCAGAACCCATCTCCCCCCAAACCAGGTTATGACTTTTAAATGTTACAGGTGGGCTCTTGTCTCTTATGTGGGGGGTCAGCTCCCCTATAATTTGCATCTTGCTGCCTGGGTTTGGGGAGTATCTGAAGCCTTAGATGTGGGAGGAAAGCTATTTGCTCCCTGGTAGAATCATGCAGACTGGAGGACTGAGTTGTGCTCAGTCAAATTTTGGAGCTTGACTGTTGGGCTTTGCCCATGGGATCTGGGACTGATTTGGTCTTGAACAAGATAAAAGAACCCCAAAACAAACAAACAGCCTGTGCCTTTCCTGCTGATGGGCTGTTGGTGTAAAAAAAAGATAGGGGGGCAAGCCATTCTGCTTCCTGAAGTTGCTACCTCCATCATGGCTGCCTAGGGCTGGTAACATGGGGCATCTGTACAGTGCAGAGAGGCTGCTCTGACACACTATAATTACAGGGCAATGGAACAAGTCTGCTGGAGTGTAGTAATGATTGCACTCTAGCAGACTCCAGTGTCTTGTGCATCTGTGTCCACCCACTGAAAAATGGTGGCAGAAAAGGCATAAAGCTTGTTAGACAAACTTTAGATAAAGCGTTTCCACTACCATTTTTCAGTGTGGGGATGCTGATACAGGGAGATGCTCTGGGCACTTTAATTAGAGAGGCTTTTGAAGCCGCTGTAATTAAAGCACTGCCACCACCACCTACAATTCCTGGAGCACTTGTATATATGCCCCAAGGGTAATTAAAAGTGCCTCAAGTCAGGAGGCCCATGTTGGTACTTCATGGCGCACGCTTCGTTCACAGCTGTCAGCAGTGAGGCTTGGGACTGTCTGCGGGAGGCACCAAACAGCTGGGTGCGCTTTACAATTAGGTTATTTTATGCCCCCCCCCCCACCCCAAAGCCTGTGGAAAATATTGTGGAGGTTTGCATTACCTTAGGTCTAAAGCAGGTGGACTTCCCTTGTGGGTTTAAATGGTAGGAGCATGTCTGCAACGGTGGTGGACAAGCAGCATGGACATTCACTGCTTAAATGAAATTAGCCTTTTCGTAAGCCAGCTGCTGAGTGCTAGGCCCCCTGTGTATTTATGTCGTATGGAAAGAATAACGCAGTGTTAGTGAGGAAGGGCTGCATGCTTACTCAGAATTTTGGAATATGCGTCTGTAGCAAGTGCCCATCCCAGGGGTGGTCATGATACCCCTGGTGGCTGCTCAGCCCTTGCCAACCTGACTCCCCGTAGGGGCCGCTCCCTTTTACTTAACTACCATGCCTTGGTGTTATTAATTTCTGATCAAAGGGAGGGCTTCCCAACCCTGGTCTTGCTCATAGGACCACAGATGCCCATGGCCATTGCCTTAAGGACTAGTTTTATGGGCTCCATCCTCATCAATAGCAGATCACCTGTGAGGCATGAGCGGGTAAGATAACTCTGCTTTCTGACAGACCCCAGACACTGGAGCTTTTCTTGACACACCCTAGTCCCTAATGGGCACTGGACCCTCCTAGTTCTCCTCTCCCCACACTGGACCCTTTCCCAAGTACCTAGTCCTTCCTAGGCTTATGTTCACTTTCTCTCTATCTCTGGGCCCCAGACCTATCTCTTCCAATGCCTGCTGTGGCCCCCATGCTCTGCCCCTCAATGGGCTCAGGCTCTCTGCCTCTGGGCCCCAGGCCTTTTATTCTTCTAGTCTCCTTCTTACTCTACCAGTTGAGACCTTCCCTTCAATCCCTTCCACAACCACCAGAGCTGTTTGCCACCAGCCCTCTTAGACCATTGCCCCTGTCCATTCTAAGGCCTGCTTCACCCCTCTCAGGCTCTGCTGTCTTCACTAGCTGGGCTTTGGGCCCCCTGGCCCTCCACTGTCTGTCACCCTTGTTCAGGTGATGGGTTCACTTGCTTCTGTTCTAAGGCCTAGCCTGTTCTTGGGCTTGGTGCTGCTTTCCCCAGCTCAGCTGTTGAGGCAGGAGATCCATTCCTTGTGGCTCCCAGGGCTAGACTGCTTGACCAGCTCAGGCCCTGGGCTTATGTGGCTCAAGCTTGGCTCCTTAGTCAAGTGACTCTTTCATTAGCCTCAGCCAGACCTTCAGGCTGCTCCTCAGGCAGCCTCTCCTCTTCAAGTGACAGGTGCACCAAGTGCCCTGTCACAGTCTCTAAATGTTACTTGGATCTGTAGGAGAAACCTGGATCAAAATTTCCTGAAGAAAAAAACACCACAGAAAAACAACAGCTTCTGCTTATATCCTTCACAAACAAGAAACCCCATTATTTGGAAAAACACGCATTAGACTTACCACCAGTAAAAAGGCATGTGCAGGGTTTGAATTACAGAGGGGGTGGGGGCTGAGCCCCCTCATAATAGATGGCAGCCCCCCTGTAACTTGCGAATCAGAACCTGGGGAGGGGCCTCCGATTTTATTACGGTATCGTGATGGGCAGCCCAATTGTTTTTGCGGACTCCTGCAAGAGTCAAAGTGTAATATGGACCCTCGGGATGTGACACCAATACCTTCCATAGAAATATACCTGTATACACTAGTGATGCCCAACCTTTTTCCCCAGTGGCCTGGATGGTTAGTGCCTGGTCTGTCTGTGGGCTGCATCTTGCCAGTGGTCCTGATCTGCTACCCAGGGTGGGTGCTGTGGGGCCCTATATGGCCACGTGTGGGTGGGGGGACAGCAGTGCAGATCTGACCCAGCCATGTGGAGGAAGGGGGCATGGCCCAGCCCTGATTCAGCTGCATGGTGGGGGAAGGGAGTATGGTCTGGCCCTGATTGAGCTGTGTTGGGGGAAAGGAGACATGGCCCAGCCCCCATCTGGCTCTGTAGGGGGCCGGGGTATTGAAACCTGGCAGCGGGGGTGGTGTGATAGTATTAATTTCCTGACCTGTGGGGAGCCCTGCAGCAGTGGCTCCATGGGCTATATTTGGCCCATGGGCTGGAGGCTGAGCACCTCAGTATATACCAATGTTGAGTATTTTTGGTAACATTTGGCTGAATGATGTGATGGGAAGCTGCTGAGTCATATCCGTGTGAATGGCGTGAAAAGAATTAAAAATACCTACTTGGTGACATCTGAATGACACACATTGCTTTTACTAGACAGTGCCTAACACAGTATTGGCCTTAATATTGGGTATAGTCCTAAGCATTATTTTAATGCAAATGATGAATACAAATGCATTCTTTTTCCCTGTTTAAAAAATCCCTTGTGTATCCTCTATATGTAAGGTTTTAAGCAGTTACGTTGTGGAGGTGGAGACTGCCTGTTCAAACAGGGTTTCTGTGGTTTTCTAATAAGTCATGCAAATAAGGTACTCCACATAGTCTACTTATGTAATAATCTCATATAAATAATTACCTGCCCTTTTCATTGAGAGCGCTCTATGGAGGTGCTAAAATGTAGAAAATATATTTTTAATATATCGCATATTTCATGCTTGACCCTGGTGATATTTTGCAGTGGTTCTCAAACTTTTTAAATACAAGACTCCCCTTGTTAGGCTGAAATCACCCCTTAGAACATGTAAGCTCTTAGCTTCTGCTTATTTTTTTTGGACTGTGGAAAAATAGTAGAGCAATTCTTCTATTGCTAATGACACAGAAAGATTATAACAGGTCAGAATGTTTTTGACATTATGGATTTCTGTGTGCACACCTCACAGTACTAATATGGAGCACCTTGGGGCACTGCTCTAAAGATAGTTTTATGCAGACTCCAGCTATTATTTCCTTAGCAGGAGAAGATGAAACTCTCTTATCTTCTATGATTTTTTTGATTCTTGAAGACAGTAGAAGAGGGCCAGAGGGGGAGCAAATCCCTTTGTATGAATTCTGAATATTCCACTTGGGTATTTTTTCAATTGCACTGGAAGCAGGGTTCCTCAAAAGAAAAGCTAATTCAGGATATTTGACGTAGGTTTTTTGTTCTGTTTTAAACAAGAATTAAAACTTGAAGTTGTAGTGGAGTTCTGAGGGACGCTACTTACAGAGTAAAGCTAAGGACTTGTCTATGCTTAAAATGGTTTGCTGGGACAACTAACCCAGCAAAGCCTCTTGGCAGGGGTGTAGTTCATACCAATGAAAGCATCCTTTTGTCAGCATAGCTTTATGCACTTTCTGTAGTGCAATATACTGTTCTAGGCAAAAGGAATATCTTTGCTGGTCTAACTATGTTTTATTTTAGGGAGTTTGTCAGTGTAGCTGTATCTGTAAGGAATGCAAAAAATCCAGGGTGATGCATAGGGGGTGCACCCCTGTAGCGTGGCGGTGCACCCCCTACAAAAAGGTGCCGCTGACACTGTCAGCAGTGCCCGCAGGCAGTTGCTGCTCACTACCCCCCATCCTCCCGCCGTCCAACAGTGCTGGCGGCGTCTGTGAGAGCTCCCCCGCTTACTGCTGTCATGCTCCCACCGCCCCACTTCCACTGCTGCAGTGCCCCCCCACCCGCCAGGGAATGTATCATTTATGCAAAAAATGATTATCTACCAGAATAACTTTTAATTGTAGACCACGCTTTTAGAATAAGAATCCTGTAAAAGAATGTTATCAGAGAAATTGAATGATAGAATTATAGGTAAGTAATTTTCCTTATTTGCTCAAACGAAGTCTTTAGGGTCAGTGTGTGTGTGTGTGTGTGTGTGTGTGTGTGTGTGTGTGTGT